ATTTATGATAGTGGACCTTAACATTTCGAATGATGCCCTGATCCATTGGTTGAGAAACACTAGTGGTGTTTGGAGGGAACCAAGCAAGTCGCACGTTGGAAAGTTCAATATGGGGGTGGCATGTTGCGTTATCCAAGAACAACAAAACATGCTGGTTTTGCATTTTCATTCTACCACTGAAGGCCGTTAACCATTCCTCCATGATCTGTGATGTCATCCATGCCTTTTTGTTGGATATCCACTCAATGGGAAGTTTCTGTATGTCCATGTTTTGGAAGCATCATGGCTTTGCTGCCTTGCCAATCATTAAGGTTTTCTCCATTTCACCTGACATAAAACCACATAGAAAAACAGTCAATCTTTCTTTGCACAGTTTCCCTCCCAAACATTTTTCACTTTTCAGACAGCAATTTGTTCGGAAGCACACGGAAGAACAGTCCAGTCTCATCACCGTTCACTATGTTTTCAGGTTCATCTCCCTCGATTATGGATGGCAATTTAGCTTCCCATTCCTCAATGGTCTCACTATTTACATCACTTGATTCACCACAAAGTTCATTAAAAACTATCCGGTGTCTTTTGCGAAAACTCTCCAAACCATCCATTAGATGCTTTGAATTCAGTCTTCCCCAGTTTTTCAGCGACATTTTTAGCATATTCCTGTACCATAGGACCCGACAACCGGTGATTTTTCGCCCTCACACTGACAAACCACTCCCACACTATTTCATTAACGTCTTCATTTGCAGTTTTCTTAAGTTCTCTTTTTATTTTTCCATTAGCACAAGTTTCCCACTGCTTCAAAATTTCCGTTTTCTTCTTTATAATCTCATACACTTGAGTTTTGCCAACGTTAAACATCTTCATGATCTGCTTAACAGACAATTTATCTTGCTCACTCGCATGAATCACTTTTAATCTTGTGCTAAGATCAAGCACAACTCTTGTCTTTGTAGCCATGATGACAACTGCTAGACTAAAGTAAAACTGTAGGTCTAGAGCACTTACTGAATACAATTTCCAGAAGGGGAAAACAATTCTGCTGAATCTCAGTGCAGGTAGTGCAGTACCATTAGAAGCTTATTTTAAAGAGTTAGGGAAAGCAAAATTCTGTAGAATGTATAGGATGCCTAAAATTATTCTAAACGATGCATTCCAGAAGATGGGAAATTTTCCGTACAAAGGCTTATTTTGATTTCCGTTGTCCGCGTTAGACAGTTTCCGTTTAATCCAGGTTATTTAACATCTTTTTCAGCCCCAAAGTCAAGGGACCTGAAAATATTTCCGTTTAAGATAGATTTCCGTTTAATAAAGGGTCCGTTTAAGGCAGGTTTTACTGTAGTAATACTGGCACACAAGAATGTCTCATCACTTATTTCTCCCAGCTATGTCTGCAACCCACAGTTCAAGAACTGCAATTCTAGATCTTTAAACTTTGGGAAACTGATTGGACAAATGAAATATGTTCCTTTGTACCCCACAGCAATTTACAGTGTTTTCCTAAAGTTTTACAATGATCCCACAAAGAGTTTAGCAGATATTACCTAATTCTGGGTTAAACCACAAAAGGGAACTGGAAGATGGTGACTCACCTTGAAGCAATTCGAGATTCCTTTCCCATTACCAGTTTTGAAGTGCTGTTGGCGTTTCTGTATTTCAGTTATACTCATTTCCTTAAACTTTTTCTTGAGATTCTTTATTTCATCATCCTTCTTCTTGCACTCTCTTTTCACCTTCTCCACTTCCTGTCAATTTAAATTGTATCTGTGATGTACGAGTGGGAAATACAATTATCAATGTGAAAGCTAAAACATCAAGTGACAAAAGGTAACAAGGCTTCAGCCATACTGTAAACATCATTTTGGAATTTATGTGGGATCACTCTTTGTTAGTGAGATAGAACATTTCAACATTTGAGAAAGAACTGTAAAATATCCTACCTGAACAAATATTTTTAAAACAAATTTCACATTTTAATTATCTGGAATGTGGCATGTCATTTACATATCACAAACATATGAACACTAAAACACATTTAAAGGGCACATGGTAGTGTAGTTGGTTGAGGCACTATGCTACAAGCCGGAAGGTCATGGGTTCAAGTCCTGATGGGATGGATTTTTTCATTTGACCTAATCCTTCCAGCTGCATTATGGCCCTGGGGTCGACTCAGCCTCTAACAGAAATGAGTACTAGGAATCTTCCTGGGGGGTAAAAGCTGGCACGTAAGGCTGACAACCTTACTGCCATCTGTGAGCCAAATGTCTAAATAATGTGGAACCTTCAAGGTCTCACAACCCTATGGGCCTCCACAGCCTGTCACAGGGATAGCTTTACCTTTTTAAAACACATTTAAATATATCAATACATGGAAATGTTAACAGGTTTTCAACGTTAAAGCAAGAGGTGAAACACAGATTAAGACTTTTCATTACATACTGACTGTTTATATTCTACTATACATAAGTGAAAGTTGTCTAAAAAAAGGTATAAAACCAAATATAATCTGGTAAGGCCACGCCATAGCTCAAGTGGTTAGTCGCTGGCTTCCCACCACAGCAGCCCAGGTTCGATCCCGGGTCTGGTCACATGGGATTTGTGGTGGACAAAGTGGTGCTGAGGCGGGTTTTCACTGAGTACTTCAATTTCCCCTGCCAATCTTAATTCCACCAAATTCTGCATCATTATAATCACCCGGGGCAGGCTACAATAGGCCAATTAGTGGCCGCTGTGTCGAGTGGACCCAGTTGGATTCCACCACCCACTGAGCAAATTAAAAAAAAATATGTGGTAAAATGAAATTTCTAAGAGATGTTACAGGACGTGCTTGTATAAGATTTTAGGTTCTTACAGTAGTTAAGATCCATACTGTTGTCTTCTTGTGTATGGCACCATGTTGCCTGGTGGATGGGTAGTAATGTTTTGGAGAAACATACTGCCTCCATCTTCAGGGTATCATGAAGATGTACTGATTTGGATAGGATCAGGAATGATGATACCAGAGAAACTCTACATGTGTTTGAAGTAGGAGACTGTAAACTTACACAATAAAAATTGCTGACAGAATGCCAGAAGAGATTAAAAAATAATTTTAATATCTGTTCCATGGGAAGCAGAGGTGTTGTTGGACTGAAGCAGGACACTCTGTGATAGGCAAAATAAGGGCACTGTATTCCTGTAAACTTCATTTTAGCAGTAGCTTTTGTAAATTGCTCTAGCAAACTGAAAGTTTTTAATTTTAAATTATATAATAGGTAGGCGAAAAGGGAATATATCCTAATGTGTTACTGCATGTCTAGGTATGTTTACAACTAATTCCATTGCTTCAATAATTTGAGGTGAGTATTCCTATCAAAGGTCAATTTAACAATGGCAAGAGTACAAAACAGCATGTGTGCATTAAATTTTGGGAAGTCAAAAAGGCAGCAACAGAAACTTATTAACTGATGCAGATGACATTTGGAAATTCAACAGTAAGCTCTGCAAAAGTTTTTTTGTGAAAAGTGACACACATCCTGGATTTCTTTCAATCTGTAAAAATACACAATTAGCAAAAGTATGTTTTATTACAATGAAGTGGCAAAATAATGAGTGCTGATGGAATGACTTAAGAGGCTGAAATTTATCAAGACCCATATCAGGTAATTAAATTAAGATTTTAAGATGAGATGTGTCTGAATAAATTATGTTCCACAGCTGCTGACACAGAAGCAGGAAGAAAATTGTTTGTCTGTGGTCCTGGATCACCTGACTGCGTACAACTGGTAAAAACTTCTGAAAATATTGTAACAGGTGATGAAACATGAGTCTGTGGCTATAACCCACAACAGAAAATCCCCTTCCTCATCATGATCAAAAAAAAAAAAAAGTACTCCAAATGTGCATCAAAACCAAATACAAGCTGAATGTTTCCATTGATCACAAGGGTGCTGTATACATAAGTATGCTCAATCTGATTAAATGTTTTGATTTTACAAATATTCAGATGCCTGTAGATACTATAGGGTTCTGACGATGGTGCATAACACACAGAGATACTGGGTTTTTGGACTTTGTCCAGCGTCCAGATTCTTTCATGGACTTAGCCTGGTCTCGGGTGTTTATAGCCTTAGGGTTTTGTGACATCAGTTGTCCAGTGATTGAGGCTAGCTCTTTCTAAGGGACTCAACAGAGTAGGTGTCTTCCCTCACCTGAGGACAGAAACAGATCTAGTTTCTGAAATGTTGTGTTTTTTTCTTACTTATTTAGAATTCGGACGATGGACAAAGTCTGAAAACCCAGTATCTCTGTGTGTTATACACCACCTTCAGAACCCTATAGTATCTACTTGTACAGCCGGTATGGACCCATTATATATCCTTCCTTTAGAAAATTAGAACGCCTGAAAATTTGGTTAAGTGTTCTTTCTTAGTTATTTAGAATCCGGACGTGGACAAAGTCCGAAAACCCAGTATCTCTGTGGATTCAGATGCCTTCATACCACAATGTACTGTGAATGGCTACAAAACTGAGGATCTAGTGTCATATTTATGAAGAAAGCATACAGGGCCTCTTGGGTCAATTTGTCTGGCAGTTTTTGGCTAAACAAGTATTCCACATGTGAGACAGCTTCCCTACTCAACACACCAGATAAGGCTCCTTGTAATGTCTGATCCCCAAGCTTCAGAAGACCTTCACAGGCAAAAGCGTTCAATGGAGCAGCTGTTTATAATTCCTAGAAGTGAACTTGAGAGGTGCTTCCATCTCTGGCAGGATGGTGAAAGGAGTCTATTTTGAAGGGAATTTAACTCAATACATATATATTCCTTATAATAATTTTCACTTATTCAATTCCAACACTTCTCTTGATCATACTTGATATAATGACTAAATGAGAAGACTGAAACCAACCCATGGCTCAGGTGACTATTCACCAGTTTCTCATGTCAGTACTAGGCCAGTCTGTGGAAACTAACGGACGATGTAGTATTGGGGAGCTTTCTCTGAATACTTTGCTTTCCCCTGCCAATTATTCAATCAAATTATCTGTCTCATCTATCACCTAGTGCTGGTACTCATATGATGGGCCATTTATGGCCTACGTGCCAAGGAAATCAGTCTCACCCATACCAAGAATTAGAAAAAGAAGATTTAATGCTTTCATTGAGAACTTATGTGGTGAGGTGTTGTAAACAAACTGAGAAAGGGCTGGGAAGAAGTGGCATAATTTGAATGTAAATTGTGTCAAATGGTGCACATACTTCTTATGACATTTAGAAGTTGTAATAGAAATATAGTTTTTAAAACCTTCATATGTTTCCTTGAATGCTGTTGCTCTAGCTCAATGCAGTTGTAGAGGTGTTGTTCAGAATACATCAGGTAATCAACAGACAGCTGTGCCAACTTAAACAACTTCACAAAATTTGGATCCAGAATTTTCACATCATATTCACTGTCAAGATTGTAGTTTATTATACTGATTAGGTTTTCCTGAAGTGACATAAGATCTCTTTCATGAATTAATCTGTCCACATCTATTGCACCTGAAATGAAAAAGTAACAGCAAGAATCCACCATAAGTTGATGAGGAAAAATTGTGCGTGTACTAACATTTGTTTTATATTATGTTAGACATTACCAGGTGCCCCATGTACACAGTACTGTCCCTTATTTCAGTCTTTTGTCCTGATGTGTTGGGGAGGTTCCTCAGGCTGCATGAGTCTCCTGTATTTGAGTTGGGGTTGGTTAGTCAACTGACAGTTTCAGGCAGGTCAAAAGAATGGTGAGAAATACATGCTGTCAGTCTGGATCTATTAAGACAATATATGAAGTACCACATAACATATATGGAAGTTATTACATCCACACTATGAGAAGGCCGATGTACTAATGATATATATCTATTCACAGTGTATTACACAAATTTATTCATCACCTGAAACCTATATCTCATTCAGAACCTTGTCTGAAAAATTTTATATGACATATGCAATGAAATATAAGGAAATACAATTAATGACTGTAGTATGAATAGCCTTCTGAAAAAAAAAATGTGTCTGCATTTAATTAAATGGACTTCTGATGTAAATTTGTCTTTATTTCTGGTAGAGAAAATATATAGTTACAGTATGAGACTAAGCTTATGATAGAATCATGGCAAATATATAACAGTAATTGGTACTGATAACTGAAGGGGAGATATTAAATATATACAATATTCACTGAAGATTTAAACATTACATCACAATTAGGCCAGGATGGAAAAGAGAAAAATCCGAGAATATGCTGGGAATTGAACCCTGGCTGTCCACTTCATACCCAGGCACATAACTCAATCTGAGGATACTAGGAAGTTTTCTTACTGAGTTCCCCTTCCACTTCAATACAGTATCTCCCATTTTTAAAAATAATATAGCTAATAATCTTAGGCATATTATATTAAAAGCAACATCAATTTTAATGCTGAAATTCAGTATTGAATCTTAGTGCATTGGTGAACATAAAAAGGTCATAAATATGGATGTATATTATTGCTATTACAACTCCAATTTTAATCATTATGTCAAGTACTAGGCTGGTTTTTGATTTCACCCAAGTGCTCCTTCCTTGTTTGCTCAGGCTACATTAAATTTTAGGGATCCAAACTATAGCCACAGCATATATGTCAAGTTTAATGAGAGATCAGTTGAATATTATTTACACTGTTAAATATTAAATTATGGGCAGTGAAATAAAGTATTGTTGTTTTATATTATATTAAATAGATTTAAATTTAGAAAAAATGTAACATGGAATTTACATACAGACCAAATTATTTATCTAAGTGTGTCGTTAATTTTTTGCAGGTCAATTTTAGCTCAGTGCATTATACATACAAAATTCATTCAATTTACATACCAATTTTGTGCCAGTCCACTCTGCCCCTCCGCAAACCAAAACTGAATCCCATTTCTTTGGCAATCCGTGGAAAATCTTTCGGACCATTGGGTCTTACACCTATCATTATGTCAGCAATATACAAACATATATAACAGTCATGTGTAGATTATCAGAAACATGACTTTAATAAAAGTAAGTAACCTAACCTAAGTATAAAATCTACGGCGTTCCTGTCTCCCATAGCAACCCAGGCAACTGCTTCCGACGGCTTCGATTTTTTCACAGTATGTAACCAACATGACCCGTGGTTGCCAAAAGAAAAACAATAACGTTCCCTGTTTACATGCATGTGTGTGCCTTTTCTCCCCATATACCATTGATTCTAACCGCTTGCAGGAAGCAGTGCCTTGAGTTTGAATCGGTATGAAGCGTATGAAGGGTATGAATAACCAAAGGCGTTCCGGATGAGCGTAAAGTGTGTGACGAGATTAGAAGGAATTATTTAGCCAAAGAAGCCGTAAAAATTGTAAATTAAAATGCTTTTATCGTTGAAAGATGACCATAAACAACATATATCATTATTAATTTCTCAACCCACTAACGGTAGGCAAAATTATTTTGATGTGATAAAGAAATGATAGGTTGTAAAATGTTGAGCTGGTTCATACTGTCAGATCAATAATGTAAATAATCATGTTATATAATATTAAACATTCAGCGAAGATTTATACATATATAAGGTAAGTTTTGTTGTAGTTTTGCAGGATTTCTGCAGATTGGCCTTAGATTATCTACGGAAAGGTCCAACCCCTAAATTGTACCAAACAGCAGCCCGTAAGTACCCCAAGAAACTTTAGAGGTTAGTTTGAATCAGTTGTATTAAGGAATTCTCCTGTTCTAAAGATCGTGCTGTAGCCAAACCCTTTTAACTAACTTCATGGAGGTCAGCCCTTCTTGAGGAGCCGTCAGTTGTACATCTACTTCCATTCCATTCCATTTATTTCACTTCTGATTGATCCTGATACAGGCATAATACAAGCCATAGGATATAGAATGAGTCACAAGATCAAAATTTAAGTTACAATAATTAATTGAAACATGTCAAAAACAAAAAACAAAACAAACATACATGCAAACAATTATAAAACATAAAGCGGACATACATAAACAAATTTACATCGGATACAATAAATATCAAAATTCTAATTCTGGTTCACTTCATTAATAAAATTGACAAAAACAATAATCCAATACAACAATTGATAACAGTAAACCAGATACAATATAAACAAG